TTGATGCAAATTTTATTAAGTGAGGACGTAATTGACGCATTTTTTAAAGGATGGACTAATTTGACATTTTCGAGCGAAACTGGGGACAAAATAGGGTATTAAGCCTATCCTTAATTATAAGTTCACACGATTCCTAGCATTTCTAATAATTAATTCTGAAGAACAGAAGCTTAAGACAACCAGAACTCATACCCCCATTCTTGAGCAATACTGCTTCTAGGAATAATTCTCCAGAACATGAATTTTAAGATACCTTCGGGTACTCATGCAAATCATACATCATACTAAAGAATGAGTTAAACAAAGCAAGCATTACGCGAAGAAGAATTATCGTAACAATTAATGAAAGAAGCATATATAATCAAGAATCAATTCAATACATGAGGGTTTACAAAGGTTACATCATTCCCCAAAAAATAGAGTTTAGTTCACCATTGACATGGTGAAACTAGATGAATAAGGGAAAAAGAATGAAAGATAAAACCCTAGAAATTGAAGATAGGACCTTCCGCATCCAAATTCGCATTTGAGGGATCAAAGAGTGTGTTTCTCTGCCTATTTCGTCCAAAGATGTGAACCCTAGGACGTCTAAGTCCTTAAATAGAACATAAAAATAACAGAAAACTGGTCCAAGCCCACGAGACTGGCGCTCAACGCCCCACTTAGGGCGCCCAGGTGGTGTGCGGGTCAAAACGGGCGCTCAGGGTCAGCTTAGAAGGCAAGCAACCGTGGTGCGACTCGAGGAAGTTGCGCTCAGCGCCCCTAAAAAGCGCGCCTAGGCGCGAGCCAAGGGTATCCTACGCTGAGGGCTCCAGAAAAGGGCAGCCAAGCGTGAGACTGTGTACTCTGGCGCTGAGGACCCCTAAAGTGGCGCTCAACGCTGCTGCGATCCTCCTTTCCAATGCTTTTCCATCTCTTCTTGAGTTCCAACTCCTTACTACTTCAACTCTTCTTCCAAATCATCTCAATTTCTGTTAAAAACAAGGAAATCTAGCACAAAACCATTAAATTCACCTTTAACTCTCTTATTCATCAAAACTATGATTCCAAGCTAGTTTCTAAGTCAAAAAGGGTGTTTTTAGTATCAAAATTAAGTATCAAATAACGGTAAATTCAACCGTTATCAGCCACGCTCCCTAGCGTGCTCCTCTTTCTCCTTCTCACCAACTCCCGATCCCTTTTCTTGGGCGATCCAAGCTGAGCATTCTGCCCTAACGGCTATGAGCTCCGCTTTGTGGCGTTGCTGCATCTCCTCCATTTTTTGTTGCAACATCCTAATCAGCTCTACGGGGTCTTCAACACTCATGTTTCTCGTGTTCACCATTGGGTTTAAGTAACTCGGCCCCACAGTGGGCGCCAAAATGTTTTGGTTATGGGATTGAGTCACAATACCTTCACAATTTGTCCTTTCCTGCCATTCGGTCTCGCTCCCTATGCTCTTGTTTGCTCATCCGCCCGAAGGTGTACCTACTAAAGCCGCTCCGATGCCAAAGTCAGTAATTGAACCGTTCGGTAATCTAATACGACAATGACAGTAATAAATACACAGTAAATATGATCACCTACCTCTTACCTTTGACTTATATTTATAGTTTTTGAGCATGGGCCTAGGATTAGTGATATTTTAATCTCGGCCCAATTCCGGTCCAATACCCTTGAGCACAATTTACCTTAATCTCCTTAAAATTAATCATTTACACTTGTTAGGCCTGTCGTCCCTGCCGGTGTCGTTTTGGATTTTGATGGTCGTCCGGTCATATGGTATTATGGACTCTGATGGCCATCTGGTCATATGGTACAATTATCATATCTAAACTTTCCTAAAATAATCTCACGTCATTAATAAAAATCACATGTATATAAAGATGATTCACTTTCAATAAAAATCACATGTATATAAAGATGGTTATTCTCCATTAAAATGTATATTGAAAATTTATTCTTACTAAATTAGGTTATTAATATCACACCGATTGACTTGATCACCAAAGTGTTTACAAGTACCCAACATATTCAATCATTGCAAGAGCTACATAATGGAACTTCCAACAGTAGAGTGAAGGTATACTAAATTTTACAAGATAGTTCGGTTTCATACAAGAACATTTGACGTCTATTGTGAGGACAAGTTGTGCCTTGAAGAAATGGTACCTACTTAGAATATGGCAGATCAAAATGCGGAATTGATACGTGATATGCAAAGATAACTTGCCGAGATGAGAAGAAAAATGAAGAAGAGAAATAAGAGAAGAGAACTAGAGGATGGGAAGGTAGTTGAAGAAGACATCTTGAATTATCGAGACATCACACTAGCAGAAAATGGTAGAGGAGGAAGACACCATGTTGAGGAAGGGATCACGAGCGAATATTGTCACCAATCAAACCTCTATAGGCATGGGAACCTCATGGTGTCTAATAACATTGTTGTTGACGCCACCGAATTAATACTACTAAACTATAACAACTTTAGTATTGCTAAAATAATAACCAACAAAATAGAAAGAGTAAATTGAACCCTAAGTGGTCTCCCAATAAATATAGAATTAATTATTAACAAATTACTTCTTATAAAAATTACACAAAGGGGTTAGTAAAATAATAAAAAAGATTAAGATAAAGAAAAGATTAAAGAACAAAAAGTAACAAACGATATAAACAAAAAAATTTATAAAGAGATTTATAAAGATAAAAATAATGATAAAGAAAATAAGTTGATTTCACTGTTTTTTAAAAATAGGACATCATTAGTTATATAAAAGTTATTGTTCAAATAATTATTCTTTTAGATTTTCAAATTAATCAATGTAAATTCTCAATTAATTTGTTGGCGTTGTCACTGTTAACCACTAGTTTGGCAGCCCAAAAACACATCGCTCATGCATTAAACATAAATTAATAATAAGCAATGGTGACCTTAACAATCAACATTATTATCCACGATAATTTTAACACAATCCTCGCATGCACCTCCACAAAAAAAAAACATAACAATACCGAAAGCCCAAAAAACACACATAACAGCTTAGCATCCCTTTACCTTGGTTTATAGTAGTTCTTCTTCCTTTCACGACTATAATGCTATGCACCAAATGCTCACGCATAATCCCTTTTTTCTGGCCCCAAATATTTTGTCACGCCACTCACTGAAAAAATAACCTTATCTCTATCGATACCGAAAGGGAGGCAGTCTCTACGAACCACACTTCACCACTACGAGTGTGCACGCTCTTCGGAACAATATTGGAAGAGGATAACACGGACACGAATGACCTTAACAGAAGAGACAAAAGGTAATGACCAAGGACAATCGCTGAGAAGAGGGAATGAAAGGGAGGCAAGGGTTTGCTCACTGAAATTCGATTTGGGGAGGGAATACCTCAATTTTCATTCTTATTGCATTGAAGAGAGCTTGGTAGAAGAGAGGGAATGTTGTAGAGCAATAGGAATCGCTGAGAAGAAGGAATGGAGGGGAAACAAAGGTTTAGTCGCTGAAATTCAATTTGGAAAGGAAATTCCCCAATTTTCATTCTTATTTCATTGCAGATATTACCAACAACCTAAGTCTGTCGGTATATCAAGTCATCGAACTATTACAGACAAATATACCTGTCGGTAAGAGAATCAGTACAGTTCATCGACAATTTTATTGACAAATCATGTTTACTGACGAATCCAAGGCCATCAATAAATATCTATCAATAATTTCAAATAATGGTTAGAGAGTCTTTTATGAATATTTTTCTTTATGACGAGGGAAACATGAGATTTGAAAAAAATAAATCTAATAATATAAAGAGATTGTGAAGAAAATACATTTTTAGTCGGTGTGTTCAATTCTATAAAAACACGTTCAAAATAGATTTGAAAATAACTTCCACTTAAGGATTTACATCTAGATTTGAAACGTGTTGATGCCAGGTCACCCACTAATCAAGCACACACTGAAAGAGTGTTCTATAGCAAAACGGAAAGTGAGAAAAAATTGATTGATGAAATAATGGTTTAATAGACTTAAAAAGATTATTATTAAATTATATCAAAGAAATAAACAGTATCTTTTATTCTTTTATTGGTGGACACAATGTAAGATAAGTGACGTGTATTCATAAATGACATGCAAAATATCGTACCCAAAGCAGATACTGACCTTTTTAGCTGTTGAAAAAAGGACACTTCATATATTTATATATTAAAATAAGTATTAATAGTAATAGTTGAATAAAAAAGTAGCGAAAAATTACTTTTATAAAAATTGATTTGTAATATGTTATTTTATGGGAGTACATAGTTATTTTTGTTTAAGGAGTTTATTTTCTTTTTAAAAATAATTAAAGATAAAATAGGAATATGATTTTTTACCAGTTTTTTTAACATATTTTTATAGATTTTTTTAATTTTAAAATATAAATATAAAATTTGTTAATCAAAGACAAAAAATCACTTTACATATTATTATAAAAAAAGACATTTTTCATTTATTTAAATAAAATATCATATTCTAATTTTGTTAATAAATAAAATGACTAAAAGAAATAACCAAAATAATATTTGAACAAGCTGAAAGGAAACAAGTAAAAGGGAAAACATTAATATACATAGGTCACAAAGTATGTAAAAATACAAATATTGGGATGGAAAAAATTAATTTGGTTAAAAGTGAAAAATATAAATCTTAAAAATAAAATTGAAGTGAACTTAAAGAATTTTAAAAATGACACATAACAGTTGGAAAATCTTATTTCATTTGTCACACAAGAACAGTATTTTTTGTTTTTTGTTTTCATATAAACTTGTACGTATAATATATATCTGTATTAAAATGTAGAAAAACATACCACTTTATGAAACATTGAAATAATCATACCACTTTTAATAGTGTTTTATTCGACCTGAAGAATCTGTTCATATGATCTTCGGGCCTACATAATAGTGGTTAGTGACACTGATACCTCTCATGTATTCCTATAAATTAATTGAGTTTGGGTTCTTGAGTGTTCAAAGCAAAAATCATCTTCAATTTAATATACTAGAAAACGAAGCATGTCTATGGTACCATCATCATCACTTCCTGTTTTCCCCCACGATGCCAAACCCAACTCAAACTTCACTCGACATATTGCAGCTTTTCATCCTTCCATTTGGGGGGATTATTTCCTTTCCTATGATTCTACTTTTCATGTAAGTGCACACAACCATTCATGTCTAATCTCACTTTTTAGATTTACTTTCATTTACTTATGTTTTGTTTTGGAATAATTTTAGTAGTCTATTACTAACTATATGAATTAAATACGGTATTTCGTGGTAACATATTCACGTCAAATTTCATAAAAGGAAATATTATATGTATAACAATAGTTGTTTACTTTATGTATTTCACTTTTCTCACGCTGGAGTTTTCATAACCACATGCAGGAAGATGATAGCGACATCCAACAAGTTACAAAATTAAAAGAATATGTGAGGAAGATTATTGTCTCTCCTGTTTTTAAGGATATCCTCTTTAAATTAAACATCATCAACTCAGTCCAACGTTTGGGTGTTTCTTATCATTTTGAACATGAAATTGATGAGGCATTGCATCAAATTTATGAGATTTCAACAAAGCAGAACAATATAATAAGTTACAATGATGATCTTCATCATCTCGCTTTACTCTTCCGGTTGCTTAGACAGCAAGGATATCGTATTTCGTCGGGTATATGACTTTGCCACTATTACACCAAATTTACACTCTAACAATCTAATATTTGTCGTAACTCACCATGTTTATCTTCTATCCCTCTTTTATGTTCACTCTTTTCATTACCTCACTGTCACCTCGTTTTGGTCTAGAGCTGTCATATAGCTAGTGAAGTTTTAGAAAAAATATGTCCGAACCATTTTGTATAAAAAGGAAAATAAACATGTATTATAATTTGAAAACTATAAAAAATGAAAAGAAATACGAAACATATTTACACATTTTTTTCTTTTTTATAAATTCGTATAAAACATTTATTCAAAAAGACCCTAAACGGTTTCGGAATAGATTTTCCTGTTGTATAGCATCAAGAATATATTTAAATACACATATATCTTGAAATTTAACAAGTTGTTTACTTGGAAGACAGATGTATTTTGTCAATTCAAGGACAAAGCAGGAAAGTTTAAGGAAAGCATTGTGAATGACGTAGAAGGAATGCTGAGCTTGTATGAAGCATCCCAATTAAGATTCCATGGAGAAGAGATACTGGAAGAGGCATATAATTTCACTCTCATTGAGTTAACCAAGTCATTAACTACCAAATTAAGCCCTTTTCTTTCTGGGTTAGTGCACCATAGCATAGGACAAGCACTTCGCAAGGGAATGCCTAGGTTGGAGGCAAGATATTATATATCTTTCTACCAACAAGATCCTTCACATAATGAATGTTTATTAACCTTTGCAAAACTAGACTTTAATATGTTGCAGAAGCTTCATCAAAAAGAAGTCACCAATGGGACCAAGTAATTTTTTCCTCCAAAAGTTACATTTTATTATTAAATGAAAAGTAAATAAATAATATCTTGTAGAAATTAATTTGGGATTTTCTTGTTCAGGTGGTGGGTTAAGGATTTGAATGTCTCGACCAATTTTCCGTTTGTACGAGATAGGATTGTAGAAGGTTGCTTTTGGATTGTTGGAGTCTATTATGAGCCGCAGGATTGTCTTGCTAGAAGAATACTGAGAAAAGTTATAGCCATATCATCCATCATTGATGATGTGTATGATGCCTATGGAACCATTGATGAACTAGAGATATTTACCGATGCAATAGAAAGGTCTTTTTAATCTTATTCTTCAATTTAGCATCTTTTTTATCTTATTTAAATAAATATAAAGTAAACTTTCCAATGATTATATGCAGGTGGGATATCTCCTCATTAGTTGATCTCCCAGAATATATGAGATTATGTTACAAGGAACTTTTGGATATTTTTGAAGAAACAGAGCAGCAGTTGAGAAAGCGGGGAAAAGAAAACTTCGTCAAGTATGCACAAAAAGAAGTACGATTAAGTTTTTATTTATTTATTTATTGTTGTTACTTTTAGAAGTTTTTCTTTTAATTGGAAATATCAAATTAAGTAAAATTGCATATTAGATACCTTATATATATCATAATATTCTAATTAGTAGATTTAAATGGTTAATTAAAAATAAAAAAATAGCCTTTCGTTATCTACAATTAGGTCCATATATAATAGTAAAATAAAATGTAGTTTGAAATTTCATATTAAGTAGAAAAGAATAAAAAAGTAATATATAAGACCCTTTACCAATTATTTTAAAGATTTTATTGTTAAATATGGTGTCATAATCCTTTATATAAATTTACTTACTTTTATTCATTTCTACTAAATTTTTATAGTATATTTCCTCCCAAAGATTCCAATTCTAATATCATATTTTGAAAATTAGACAATGCACTTTTTTTGTTAATTTCAACAAATCCATTAATTTTTTTCCATTAAAAATTGATATCACGTCTTATGATAAAGTCTTTAATGAAAATGTTAATTTTCGTATGTTCTTTAGACCAATAATTTAACAGTCAGTGACCTTTAAACTAAGTATGATTTATTGCATAAATTTTAAAGGTCTATGATATGAATGTATTATACGACGTATGAACTTGTTTAAAAGTCTTTAAAAGGTTATTGGATTTTGGTCAAATAGGTCCATTGGTAATTACTTTTTTCTTTTATCATCGTATGTAAGATATACATTCCGTATAAATAAGCATATAATATAACATAATAAATTATTTATTTGAAAATTTATCTTAATGAAGTTCCTAAAATGAATGGGTTTTATGTTTCAATAATTCATTTTTTTTTCCTGTAAGTCATCATGTTTAAGTCATAATACGATTTTTATGCATTATAACAATTTTAGTATATACTAGTATTTGTACTAAGAAAAAAAATATTTATATGTATTTGAGTAGGTGGATATGTTGAGTTTATAAGATTCTTTTAATGGTTTACGGACGAACTCTTTAACTAAATAAACTTGTATAAAACTTAAACCTTATCTTTTATCCATGTAGAGCACACAGATATCCTTATTGGGTAACCTAATACTATATGATACCCAATATAGCAAAAGAGATTCTTGTAACAAACAAAAAAAACCAAACAATGTGGTCATATATAATGTATTTTTAATTACAGATGAAAAGACTAGTCCAGGCATACCTTATTGAGGCAAGGTGGTTTAATTCCAACCACACACCAACTGTAGAGGAGTATATGGAAGTTGCAACTATGTCATGTGGTTATGCTATGTTGACAACTGTATCTTTCTTGGGCATGGAAGACACGACAGAGGAGGTCCTCATATGGGCAACGAGTCACCCAAAAATTATTGAAGCTGCTTCAATTATTTCTAGGCTCATGGATGACATTGT